GCCACCGGGGGGCGATCGAGACGCTTTGGCTTCACTTTTCAGGGTGAGAACGCCCCCTGCTGGCCTCACTAAAACCGCTTCCAGTTCTCCCAGGACTCTCCCATCCTTGGCTTCAGTGTTGGGATACAGGCTGATAGCTGGTGGGTTAATGTGCATGAACTCTGAACTCAGCTGGGCATCGGACACCCCTGGTTTAAACTATTTAAAAAGATTTGGCTTGTGGCGTTTATGTATGCAGCATAAGTAAGGGTTCGTACAAGGTGCTAAAAATGCTTGAATTGGACTTTTTGAAATTGAAGTCCTTGAAACCAGCCATATTTATGAAAAGGTACTTGAAAAGCGATTGAATTATTGAAAGATAATACATGTGAAATTAGTGTTTAATTTAGTGTGAAAGGATTGTTTTATCAATAAAATGAACACTGCAGCCCATCTGATATAGATATATAGCCGTTCCGCATGGCCATGAGTGTGATATTGCTCATAAATATCCAAGTATATGTTACAGCTTTCATTTTTCAGGTCAATCATATATCAATGAGGAAAAAAATCAGTTTGAATAAGTAAAGCGATATCCTTTCAATGGTTAAAGTTACCAGTCATTGCATCTGCTGCACTTTATTTGTACCATTTTGGTTTATTTTTGTGTACCTTTTTTATAATTCGAAATATAATAAAGATATTGTTTGATAAGTGAGATCTCTGATTGAAGTCCTTGAAAACCAAACAAGTAGTGCTTGAGAAGTCCTGGAATTGCATTTTACAGTGTCTATACGAACCCTGAGTTTAGCACTGCTGTACTAAGCTGATCCTTTACTTTCTGTACGTTCTCATGGATGTGGATGTTCCTCGTCTAACCCTTTCCCATCTCTCGACTCAGGTATTAAGCTGACCCTTTCTGCTCTTCTGGATGGGAAGAACATCAATGCTGGTGGACACAAACTGGGTTTGGGTCTGGAGTTTGAGGCATAGGAAGCCGAGGATTGCGATAATCCTGACTTGATTTTTTTTCTTTCTTCCCTTTTGAATACCTTCCCTCACAAACCTCGTTTCTCTTAGATTCCCTGGCCGAGGACACACACTCGGCCAAATGATGCATTAGTAGAGGCTCACGTCTTCAGAGAGTGTGTTTGCTAAAGGAAAGACACTGCTATAGGTCACACAGAATGAAAGAAGAGCATAAATGGCTTTAAAAAATGTATTTTCAATACATTATCGAAATTATTTATTTCAGTGTTGATTGTGACAGAATATTTTACCGATGTTTAATTTTTGGCCGTTGGCTAGAAACAGAGACGTTTACATCAGAAAACACTAATGCTAGCTGACAACATTCCTGATCCACGGTTTTCACCCCAACTAACCTTGAAAGAAGGGACCCGTATATAAGAGTACACTCGAGGGCCGCTGTAGGAGCCCTTCACGTCTTTAGTTGTAGACACCAGACTTTTGGGTGCGTTTCGTGTTTGTCTCGTCTGTGCGAGTGAACCCACATGTGTATCTTGTCTATTATTGTTTTATTACTGCATACTTGCCTGTACCTTTTATGGCACAACTCTTTCAGCTGTCCCTGAACTAAAGGAGATTGGAAACAACCTTTAGATGTGCCGGGGAAGAGCGTGAAAGATTTGAATATGTGGATGTAGTCTTCCGTTTTTAAATGTTGGATTAGCATACTGTGGATTTAGCAGTTTGGTTACTTTAAGTTGAATAAAACATTTGGACCTGGACCACACTACTGGATTGTGCAGTTTGGTTTCTTACTAACAAAAAAAACAAAATATTGGTCGTTATTATAGCCAAAAAATTTTTTTAGAGTAAGCTTTATTATTACTTAAAGCTGAAAATCCAGCTTTTAATGTTGTTTATGTGTCTATGTGGTGTTTTTAATAAGACAAACCATGTGTAAGTTCATAAGTCGACAGCATTGCTGAGTATTTTCTGCTTAAAACTGCAGTGAACCAAAGACAGTCTCAAAAACACGGTTTGAAATCGCTGGTGTTTCTGACGTCACAAACGACCTTGTAACCAATCAGATCAACGTGTGATCGTCCACCAGTGGATCTCTGAGCTGAGTGAGTGAGTGGAGGCGGGGTCTTTTGCATATTCATAGAGCCGCGGACACTAAACGAGGCGAGAGTGTCGAGTTACATTCAAGATATTGTAAGCCATGAAGACTTTTTTTTCCAAGGAAAAAAACACTTAAATGTGTCATTTGGGTAATCAAAGATGAGTTTTAAGGGATAAAATGATTGACTACAGGGTTTATGTTTTAAAAAAAGTTTGTTTTAACTTTTTATAAAAAAAAAAGTAGAAGTAAATTTTTAAATACTACAACCATTGTGAGGGATGTTATAAAAGTTATTGGTATATATGTTTGGTGTATAGCCTATTATTGCTGTTCACTCATGCATCATCTAGGGTAAAACATTGCCTTGATTAAATTGCATTAGATTCTGATCCAGACATTTGATTTCTTTCAATGTAAGATGTAAACACTCGCATGTATTTAAGATGTGTGGAAAATATGCATTGTATATTTTTCCTTTCAGAAAAAAGTTCCTCTTTAAAGTGTCATAGAAAATTGTGATGAACGCAAAAACAATGTACATACTGTACACACTGTTAATCAACATGGCTTAAACCTCGCCTTATATATGGACATTACCGTATACATATATTACAAAATGAAATAATTTACAAAATAAATCATAGAAGTTATTCTGTAAATGCACACATTGGTAAATATATTAATTGTGTTTTTGATGCATGTACTTTTTGCAATATATTCAGTTAAATTGAACACTTATTCTTATTTCCCTTCATTTTGGATTGATTTCCAGAGAAATTAACCTTATTACATTTTACTTTCCACAAACCCCATATTTTTGCTGAAGGACAAAATTACATGCGTCCTTTAATTACCTCGGCAAAGTTTTACATTCACAAGACCAGAAAAACTCATATTATCTTTAGTTACTGATCTCACACTATACTTTTTCAAATATAAGAACAAGAAACTCATAAAAATAGTTACAAATCCTTGTCAGATTTATGTATGCAAACGCATTTTTGAATCTTTAATACACACACACACACACAATCTCTCTTTTTGCAACAAATTACGCGTGAAAGTGAAAATGAAGGATCTTGCAACCCCGCCACAACGCCGCGACTGACACTGCGCATGCGCGCTGATGACGACATCACTGAAGATGGCGACGTTACGGAAGACTCGATGCAGGGACTCAACGATGGGAATACTCGCAGTTTTAGTGTCACTGCAGATCCTTTCTGTGAGCTGCGGTGTTATAAAAACAAAAGGTTAGTGGAATGATTTCCCTTCAAACCTCAGCGGGTTGTTACTGCGGTCAGTGATGTCATTTAATTATTTACCATATCTCATAATACAATCGAGCCTAAGTTTCGTGTGAAGGTTAACCTGTGACTGAATTCCCCTGTGTGCCTTAAATGTCTTTCTCATCAAATGGTTGTGTCTCGGTACCAATAAATAACACGTTTACATACTGTTAAATAAGTCTATGATTCAATATAGAAAACTCACACAAGACTCTTTCTGATACTGATACCGGAAGTCTCATGCTTTTTGTGACGTGGTCAGTTTCCCAACTGTCAAGCCTCTGTAAACACAACGCAGATTTTGAAAAATCTTTTTTTTCCAATTTTATATATATATATATATATATATATATATATATATATATATATATATATATATATATATATATATATATATATATATATACACACGCTGTCGTTTGGACTTTGAGCCGAGCGGATTGTTATCCGTTAAAAATATTGTTATCGTTTAATCGCCCGGCCCTAAGTTAAAAAAATTCTAAATTCAATAATTGGAAAACGTATATCTCACATGAATATCTAATGTACCATCAGATTGCTGTTATTTTATCCTATAGTATCTGGCCAAAAGTGAAAAACAAATGCCACACGAGGAAGCTGACTTGGCCAAACTGCCAGATTCTCTCTCTTGAAGACAGAAAATGTGAAAAATGTAAAATAAAAAATAAAATATGACAGAAAAATGTCCTCGACAGATATTGAGTTGGGTAACGTTTAAAGTTGAACGATTCTGCTTATCGATTCTGCTTATCTATTCCGATAAGATAACGTTAAAAAAAAGTAGATATCATTCACTTTGTCTTATTGCAAAAAACCCCATTTAATTGTATTTGAATATAATGAACAAAATCAACAGGCTAAAGAACACTTACACAAGGAACAACACCATAGAAAAACAACTAGCCTAACTAATATAGATTTCAAGCATTATTAAAAACAAGTAAATAGTCAGACCTTGGTCAGTCAAACTTGGAATTGATTTTCGATTATCTTCAATGATGTTCAACACACTTACCTCTGTTCAAATCTCAGACAATTTAGTTTAGGGTTTCATGACCCTTTAAAGACAAACACTCAGTAATTAAAAATAGAACAAATAAAAAAATTAGCAATCGCAAAAAAATAGATACAACTGAACAAAGATACGATTGAAATAGTGTTTTAAGATTTTAAAATAAAATATAGTACATTACAAATATAGTTGCAAAAGTTATTCAGTCAAAAAACGAGTGAATTTTCTCTCTGTCTTTTGTTGTTTGATTAGTGTTATTATAGAGACAACATGAATATTAGTGCTGTCACTTTAAGAGCTGCACGGGTCCAATATACTGATACACATGCAGCACAGAAAACAGTCGCCTCACGCTTGAATGATTTAAAGTCATATTGAAATGCTCACAAAGGAATCAAAATTTTAAAATTTTAAGAAGTATCTGATTCCTGACATCAAGTATTCAATTACAGAATTGGAATCGATCTTCGATTCCCAACCCTAGACAGATGTAAACGCTCTTAATGTTGCTTGTTTCCCTCCACAGCTGATATTCCACCGGACACTGATGGCAGTTTGACCCAAAACATCCCAGAAGCACCTAATAAGATCATGAATGATGATCGGAGTGAATCAGGCCCGGTTTCGAATGCGATGGCAGCTCCTAGTATCGACTCCAACAGCAGCACCAAAGCACAAGTCGTTCCCATCGCCATATCTGCATCAGATCAAAACAAAACCACACCAGACCCGCTGAAAACCACACCGGATCAGCCGGAAACCACACCAGACCCGCTGAAAACCACACCGGATCAGCCGGAAACCACACCAGATAAGCAGAAAACCAAACCAGAACCGCAGAAACCCACACCAGAACCGCAGAACACCAAACCAGAACCGGAGAAAACCAAACCAGAACCGCAGAAACACACACCAGAACCGCAGAAACCCAAACCAGAACCGCAGAACACCAAACCAGAACCGCAGAACACCAAACCAGAACCGCAGAAACCCACACCAGAACCAGAGAAACCCACACCAGAACCGCAGAAACCCACACCAGAACCGGAGAAAACCAAACCAGACCCGCAGAAACACACACCAGAACCGCAGAAACCCACACCAGAACCAGAGAAACCCACACCAGAACCGCAGAAACCCAAACCAGAACCAGAGAAAACCAAACCAGAACCGCAGAAACCCACACCAGAGCCCACCGTTACACCTGCAAACAAGCCAGTCTCCACCCCGGCAGGAGATAAACCAGAGAGCACCTTAGATTACATGGCTGACAACACGTCTCCAGAACCAGACCTGGGCACTGGAGATGATGATGATGATGGTGTCGTCGAAAATTTAGAAAATCTCCCCTCTGAAAAAATAGATGTAAACATCAAGGACACAGTCATCTATACAACCAAGGATGAAGATTCCCACTTCTTCTTCCATCTGGTTGTCATCGCCTTTCTAGTTGCCATCGTGTACATCACCTACCACAACAAGAGAAAGGTATATGGACCGTCGCAACTTGATTGATAGCATGTGACATCGCATAAAGAAAATTGGCTTCTCTTCAGAATGATTTCACGATTATCGATTAATCGATGAGTTATTTGATCTCATTGGATTATTCGTAGTGGTTGACCGATATATTGCCAAGGCTGATATATTGGCAGATATTTGCAATTTTTTAGTTTTCTAGATCAATGTGTCAGACGCATTAAACAAAGAAAGTAAGTTTTGTATATCAAATGTGGTACAATAGTCGTTTTAGAGTTAGGGGAATTGAACCGCACTCGGATCAGCTGATAGGCGTGTGATAAAAAATAACGCTTTTGTTCTGGAGTACAGCTCTGGTTTGGTTTGCGCCTAAAACCTGCCAAAGTTTATAGTTAAAGGTGCAGTGTGTAATATTGACGGTTTGAAAAAGTCAACATATTGAAGGGAGTTGTTTCTCTCACCCTTCCTCCTCGACCTCGGTTGCCAGATTGAGATCACGCACCACAGAACGAGCGTGATTTTTACACTTAAGCTTTACACTGTAATTTGATCAGCTACTATATCTGCGTTTTAATATTCCTCTGATCATCATAGAGCTTTTTATATGGATTTTGAGTATTTTTAGGTATGGTAGAATCTGTGATCTCTGACCCAGTTCGTTCGCTGCTTCCTCGGCTGAAATACGCGGAGTTTCCCGCCAACTGGCAACCCGGGTGTCGAAATGCTATTGGGTGATTAGCAGTGGGCGGAGTCACACAAATCAAAACAAATCAGACACTCTGACACGGAAGCACATTTCAGAGCAGAATAACTGGCTGTAGTTTTGCTTTTCACAGAAACTGTTAATTTAGCATGTTTCCTAAATATCTGCAAACATATGGTATTTTTATGCTTTAGCACAGTAAAAAAAAAAATATTACATACAGCGCCTTTAAGGATTAACTTGGACTAATGTGCAATGGACAAAAACATTTTGGTTTTCCAGTTATTTCACATTCACTTCATGCCAAACATTCTTGGTCACATAGAGGTAATGACAGGAGACAAGTTGCTTTCTTATTTCTGTGGAAATGAAGAAGAAAAAGGAATATATAAAAAAAAATGCTGTTGTTACATAAAGACAGTCAAAGGTCTATGAAATGAGGGCTTGTAGGTTTAATCAGACTGCGTTATGTTATAATTTTTTTTTTTTTTTTTTAGGATTTCAGGGCTCTTGTTAATTGTAACATGGACCAAGATTACATTTAATTAAATAGAAAACGGAGTTTGAAATTTTCGGTTTTTTTCGTATTCGTGATTCGGTGGCTCTGAATTGGTTGCTACGGATGCGAAAAACGCAGAAAATCGAACCTGATCCAAAATTTTTTATGACGGACAAAGGTTTCGGAGGCAGTGTGTAAACGTGATCGACACAACATATGCTCGTATTTATTTTTTAATGTGCGGACATTTCAGACGAGAATTTCGTTCTCAGTGTGGAAGGAGCTTTACACTGTAACTGATATGAGCAAAACAGAATATTGAAATGTTAATTACAATTATTTGTTTGACAATTAGCCTAATCGTCAGCACAGAAATCATGATCACATGAGCAGTTTAGCCGGATAATGTGGTGTCGAAGGGCACATCACTGAGAGGAGGGTCTGCAAGAAACAGGTTAAACAGGCTGAAATGATACATTGAAATAAGTGTAATTTTAGGGGTAAACAAAACAAGCTTTACAATATTAGCATAATGTTGAAATAATTCACAGTTTATATATCATTGTGAGTTTCTTTGCATTATGCTCATAAGAATTTGCTTGAGAATGTGCGCTAAAATAATGTAAACGAGTCCTAAAACTAGCATGTTTTTATGGTTCGTTGATTTTATTATTGGCGTTTGAGGTGGAAATTCACCTATATAATAAAGTCCGGTCACTTAATGTTTTTATTTGTTTTTTTAGATCAAGAAAGACACATTGTTTTCAGGCAAAGTACAGTTTAAAACAGGAAGTAATAGAAAAGAAAAGATGCATAATTAATTATTTTCTAACAACATATTGGTTCATACTACTGTTGTCATAAATAGTTTTTTTTCTTCAAAACAGTTTCAATTGCTGTAATAATCAATCAGAGTGATTTCTGAAGGGTCATGTGACACTGAAGACTGGAGTAATGATGCTGTAAATTCACAGTTTTGATCACAGGAATAAATTACACTTTAAAAATATTCAAATAGAAAACAGTTCTTTTAAATTGCAATAATATTTCACAATATTACTGCTATTTTTTGTATTTTTAATCAAATAAATGCAGCCTGAGCATAAGAGACTTCTTTTAAAACACATAAAAAATCGTACCGATCCCAAACTTTTGAACAGCAGTGTGTGATTATCTCAGTGTATATGATGAAAGGCATGTGAAGAATAGACTGAGCACTGAATGATCTGTCCTGATTATGAACTCTCCCCGTGTGTCCGGTGTGTAGCTGATGCTTCTGGCCCAGAGTCGGCGCTGGCGGGACGGTTTCTGCTCCCGAGGAGTCGAGTACCATCGGCTCGACCAGAACGTCAACGAGGCCATGCCTTCGCTCAAGATGACCAGCGATTACATCTTCTGACCGCCTGCAGAAGAACACACGCTGACCGGCTACACGTGGTGTCTTATTTAATCAGAGGGAAGAGGGTGTATTTTGTGTCTTTTCTGCTTGCTGTTCTCTGTGTTTTTTGTTTTTTGTGTGTGTGTCTATGAAAGCAGATGTTTTGAATGCAACGGTAAACCATTTTGTTCTTCGGCAGAACTACATTTTTACATGTCTGCCGGATCATTCTTGAAGAAAAACAAATGAAGGTATGTAGATATTTGATTATAAAGCTGCTGTCTGTCACATATAGGCCAAGCACACAATACAGACGATTCATTTGCTTCCGTTGCACTGGTTTGTGGACATTGGCTTCTGTGCTGTGAGTGTGTGTGTGTGTGTGTTTGAGGTGCACAATTAATCTGTGAAAGATCGCGACCCATGAAATCTTATTGCAATCTTACGACAACAATTCGCCTGTGTCTATCAAACCTGTGACGGATCTGAGTTCTGATCCAGAGAGCGGCTTTCCTGTAGATATGAAGCAGCTTCAGTCTTTTCAACCACACCGTATCGTTATTTCTGTGTTACAAACATGCAAATCATCACATAAGAGCTGGGATTAAAGGTTATAGTTCAGATATAAACACTGATGTCTACGCTCGCGAGTTTAAAAGTCTTGTGAAAACCCATTTGTACTCGTGTGCTTTTAACGTCTTGTGAATGTTTATTTTGGTGTTGGATCTAGGCAATTTTGCACATCTTTGGTCAACCAAGGTTGTTTTAAATGTGGTTTATAAATAAATTAAACTGTAGTAAAAGTAACTTGATGCTTCAAATTAATTTATTAATTACATCGACCAGTATGTGGCGACAAGTGACTTAATTTTTATTTGTCATTGAATAATTCACTCCAGAGATTTGTTGAAAAACTGATTAATCTGGTAATGAAACAAGTGAAGTCTTAATCATTGAATCATTCACTCAACCATGTTTTTTTTTAAATAATTCAAATTTATTCAATGTTTAAATAGACTGCACCAATTTACATTTTTTTTCAAAAATGACAATTCTACTAAATTACATGTTATTTTGTTTAGTCTATTTTAAATTGTGATCTCTTTAAAAAAAAAAAAATCTCAATTTATACAGAATGGTGCAGCTGTAGTGTGTTCAACACAGATAGTGTGTGTGTGTGTGTGTGTTGAACACGTCTGAGAACCCATGCTAATTCCAGAACAGCAATATTGTCATGAAACGTGTGTTTGCTATGCAGCCGCTTCTGGTCCCCTTTGTTTTTGTGTTACGACTTCAGTGAAGTTGTTTTATATTGCACATGATGTTTAGATGAGCAGGGTCCACTGTTGCCTAAATCAAATTAGTTTTTATTGTTTTATTGTGTCTTTCTTTGTGTGAGTGTTGCCTAATATCAAACACGACTGTAACAGCAGCCGAAGTCATCATATCAGTTTCATGTGTGCAGAACACTAATAATAACACTAATATGAGCGTTAGTAGAGCAGCTCTGATGTACAGTCTGTGCATGAACACCGCATACTGATTTCCACTGTCAATTCAACAATAAAGCGCCTCTGTATACAGACAGTCACTGGGTTTGTCTTTCATTGTGATTTATGAATTATACATGCACATTAGAAAATGACATGTTTTGCCGATTTTTGATTTCAGTTTCTCAGTTTTAAATCACGTTCGGCCACATGTTGGATGATTATTATGCATCTAAGTTCACACATAGTGTTAGGGGATGGTTACAGCATAATTAAGATTTTAAATGAATACTTTTAAATGAATGTGAACAACATGAGCCTGTCAAAAAAAGAAACCAAAGCTGAAACACTTGAATGTTAATTTCAAATCAGTGATCTCTCAATTACTTTTAATCAAACCACCAGATCTTCTTAATCTAATTCACAAATATAAGTGTAAAATAAGTTGCAGGTAATGTACGTAAATGTTTCTGTGCACGTTTGTGTGTAGACATGAATACATACAGAAATAAATGAAAAAGAAAAAATGAAAAGAAAATTGTGTGAAATATGTCATTTGTATTTTTTGTAGTTTAACATGTTAACAGGTTTCTTTGAGGTTTAGAATCCAGTAGCCTATTCCTGTAATTATTGTTTCTTTTTTATGAATTTAATAAATAACTATGTCTCGTATTCTGTCCAAATGGTCGGTGTCAGGGTCACTTAAATTTGTGTCCATTAGTTTTTCCTTTTTTAACAGGTAATTTTGCAAAACGAAAAACGAACCGTTGTTGTATTTTTAAATAGCAAAGTTGAACACCAAAATGTAAATTTGAACTGTAGTCTATGCACCAAAATGTTGCGCAAAATAATAAATAGGCCTATTGACGGATTTTCAGATTTTTTAAGACTTTTTGCCCCTTTATTAAACATTTAAAATATTCACAAATTAATAAGAAAAAAAAAGACATTTCAAGCTTTAGCCTAGGCTATATTTTGTTTCAGTTGTCGTGCTCCAGTTCATCATGAAACCGCGCCTGATTGTTTTATTTTATTTTACAAAGCACAACGTTTTCTTGTTATTTTGAGTTTACGTAAATACAAGTAGTTGAGAATAATGTATTATTATTTTCCGTGTGGCCAGAAATGATAGAGTATTTTAAGTTGTTTCCACTGTTGATAGGAAATGCAAGTGTTCGCGCCCGCGCCTCCCTGCCATCCAGTGCGCGCTCCGCACTCGCACAAACACTTGGATATGCGTCAAAATCATTATGAATGACATTTTACGAATTGCTTTTTAATTATTATTATTTGCGTCCACAGACCCCAAACACACCGCGTCTTCAAAGTCAAGTGACTGTAAATGCGCAAAAACAGTTTCCATTGCAGTTTTGCAAAATATTCCTATTAACTCCGGTGGGTCTGCAGTTCTGGCTGAGGGCCAGGGCGGTGCCGGGGGGAAGGACCAGGCTTCCAGACTCAAACAGTGCGTGGAGTCTTTGCGGAGCAGGCTTTGGCAAAGCCAGCAGCGCAGGCAACAAGGGCGGAGCAAGACACTTGGGCGATTAATTTGCTTCCATTGCACTGTTTTGTGGACATTGGCTTCTGTACTGTCTGTCTCTGTGTGTGTGTGTGTTTTAGGTGCACAATTAATCTGTGAAAGATCGCGACCCATGAAATCTTATTGCAATCTTACGACAACGATTCACCTGTGTCTATTTAAGCCTGTGACAGATCTGAGTTCTGATCCAGAGAGCGGCTGTCCTGTAGATATGAAGCAGCTTCAGTCTTTTCAACCACACCGTATCGTTATTTCTGTGTTACAAACATGGAAATCATCACATAAGAGCTGGGATTAAAGGTTATAGTTCAGATATAAACACTGATGTCTACGCTCGCGATCAAAATAGAACATTGTCTGAGTTTAAAAGTCTTGTGAAAACCCATTTGTACTCGTGTGCTTTTAACATCTTGTGAATGTTTATTTTTACACTTGGGCGGCCCTGGGACGGTCTCAGCGGGCTGCTCTGGGACGGCGTTCTGGAGCTTGGGCGGAACTGGCATGATTGGCAGCATGGACAGAGCTGGCCGGGCGAGACGCTGGGGAGGCGCCGGCAGGGCAATGAGCCTGGGGACGGCCTCCTGGCCGACAGCAGGCTCAGGAAAGACCTCCGGGCCTTATGGGACGCAGGAAGTCTTCCTCCTCCGTTTCCGAGAGCGAGGGGGCTTGTGACGGCCCGAGTAGTGGCCGCACAGGAGTGGTAATGTTGATGCATCACCACACACATATTCACACACATATTTAGACGAAGGCCATTCATTTAAGAATAATCTTTATTTAAACTTCTTTCTTTTGTCATTCTCATTTGTGTCAGTATAAACAATATTGATTCATTCTTTATTGTTAGTTTTGCTTATGTTTACATATTACAATACATTTGTTATACATTGTTGCTGATTTGAAGCGCACACAAATTAGTTACGTTGTATCTGCTATTTATATTAGTTTCTCTTTTGAGTTTAAGTTTACCGGTGATGAACTTCAGACATGGTCCACAGCAGCCGCATCCTGGTGTGAGTGTGACGAAAATTAGAGTCATTCTAACACGTACCATTCGCTGGGAGTTGCCCGGGGAGGAAGAAACGTTAATGTATTTTATTAATTGATTACTTTAGTTGTACATTTATGGTATTGATTACATTTTGCTTTCCTGATCTTTATTTACTATATATCTTCATTTGACTTGATTTTGATTTACTTAAGGATGTATGTTGAATGTGTAGTTAAATTGTTTTCCCTCTTAATTTGTAATGGGCCCATCCTTTCCTTTATAAGCTGTTGCTTTGTTCATTTGAGCAGGTCAGTTTTAGTTTGTTTGTTTCATTTTTGTCTAACTGTTTTTGACCTTATTTTCTGTTTTTTTGTTTTATTTTTGTTGCAAGAAATTTATGAGTTTGTAAAGTTGATTTTTTTTTTGGTTCCAAATAAAGACCCATTTTTCATATAAAGCTTGTGTTCCTTGTTCCTGACTTCTCGGTCCCTCACAGGGCTCTGCAGCCTCTTCAGCCAAAACTGGGGGTCTCTGGCCAAAACTGGGGGCGCTGCAGCCTCTCTGGCCAAAACTGGGGGCGCTGCAGCCTCTCTGGCCAAAACTGGGGGCGCTGCAGCCTCTCTGGCCAAAACGGGGGGTGCTGCAGCCTCTCTGGCCAAAACTGGGGGCACTGCAGCCTCTTCAGCCAAAACTGGGGGTGCTGCAGCCTCTCTGGCCAAAACTTGGGGTGCTGCAGCCTCTTCAGCCAAAACTGGGGGCGCTGCAGCCTCTTCAGCCAAAACTGGGGGCGCTGCAGCCTCTCTGGCCAAAACTTGGGGTGCTGCAGCCTCTCTGGCCAAAACTGGGGGTGCTGCAGCCTCTTCAGCCAAAACTGGGGGCGCTGCAGCCTCTCTGGCCAAAACTGGGGGTGCTGGAGCCTCTCTGGCCAAAACTGGGGGTGCTGCAGCCTCTTCAGCCAAAACTGGGGGCGCTGCAGCCTCTCTGGCCAAAACTGGGGGTGCTGGAGCCTCTCTGGCCAAAACTTGGGGTGCTGCAGCCTCTCTGGCCAAAACTGGGGGTGCTGCAGCCTCTTCAGCCAAAACTGGGGGCGCTGCAGCCTCTTCAGCCAAAACTGGGGGCGCTGCAGCCTCTCTGGCCAAAACTTGGGGTGCTGCAGCCTCTCTGGCCAAAACTGGGGGTGCTGCAGCCTCTTCAGCCAAAACTGGGGGCGCTGCAGCCTCTCTGGCCAAAACTGGGGGTGCTGGAGCCTCTCTGGCCAAAACTTGGGGTGCTGCAGCCTCTCTGGCCAAAACTGGGGGTGCTGCAGCCTCTTCAGCCAAAACTGGGGGCGCTGCAGCCTCTCTGGCCAAAACTGGGGGTGCTGGAGCCTCTCTGGCCAAAACTTGGGGTGCTGCAGCCTCTCTGGCCAAAACTTGGGGCGCTGCAGCCTCTTCAGCCAAAACTGGGGGCGCTGCAGCCTCTCTGGCCA